ATGATTTATACATGTCTGCTAATAATGTACTTTTCATTATATTCTAAAAACACAATAAAAAAGACTTAGAGCATCCTCGTCACACTCTTTGAATCTCTCAAATATAGTATTTTAATAGTTTTAATTATTTATCTAAATTTTAAACTATTGAAAAAGCATTGAACCAATCATATATGAACAAGTGTTAAATGAGTTTTTCAAGCGTGAGAACCGTTTCTCAGTTGAATATCCTATAAAACCAAATATAGTATGCTTTCGACGGATCACCCTGACCAGTACAATGAAAACATGTATCTCCTTTGCTCCTTTTCTAAGTTCACTAAAAACAAGATTCGGCCTCGATCAAATCACTTTTATTTATATATGATGAAAATATTACATACTAAAACATGCGAAAATTATTATTTCATACTTCATTCGCTGGTTTTCTCATTGCTAACGTACATAAGGATTTCCTTAAATTTATAACGATTGAACTTATAAGAACATATTTTACCAACCCAGTTACATATATCAATTTGATAATAAATCACAAGTTTTCATCAAGCATAACTTAGCAAGAAGAAGTCTTCCAAATCTCTTGGAGCTCTCTGGCAAACTCATCCTGTCTCCCAACGACCATGGTGATATGATCTTTCTTCTTGATAACCTTAACGCGTGCCCGCGGAATCCGCTGTTTAATGCTGTAGCTACACTCGATGGGGATGAGCTCGTCGTCTCCTCCGTGGAAGATGGTCACATTGCACTTAAGCTTGTCTCGTACAATGTCTAGATACGTATCAAGTTTGCTTCCTGTCCCACATATAATGTTGTGTAGAGTGTGCCACGCTGCGTTGTGCGTGTGACACATGAAACCTTCTATTAAAAAGTTTACTGTCCTGGATAGAGAAAATTAACTATTAATTAGCACAGTAAATCATATAACGAAATGTAGTTCTTACTTATTAATGAATCAGCATGCATGCACATGACTACATCAATAAAGAGTTTAAGATGAAGATATTAGCTCATCATAAGCTAATTTACATATACTAATGATAATTAAACTTGCGCTTGCTAAAGTGAATTCGGTAATTTGTTTCTTTTTTCCTATTTTAATTAATTATTTTTCTAAGGGTTGGTTGTTTTGGTATGACGAGAGCATTTTACGCCCAGAACATTTGTAAAATATATAAATAGACGTGTCACTGAAATAAATCGATCAACGAACCTAGACATTTTAAAAGCAAAACAAATTTCAATTGCTCCAAGTACTTGTTAGGTTAGAATTTAAAATGAAGCATTGCTGAAGATTCTAGGTAGGTTGCCAAAGTCTCTGTCTTAAAGCTCTTCTCCAGTAAAGGGAGATACTCATGCAACGTGGCTCTCTATATTTGGTTATATGATGTAACTTGTGGATCAAGTTAATACCACGCAGACTTGTACTATATCTATATTTGTATATTTGTATATTATTATTTTTAATAATCGTAAAGTGAGTTGACACTTGACACTAAACTAGCCAGCGACCAGATGCGGTTACGAATTAAATTTGCAAGTAGAATTAGTCTATTGGAGGTGCTTTGGTAACTGATGACAACAACTAACTAGCTAGATCAACTGTCAATTGTTTTAAATATATTGATTAATATGATTTTAAACTAATAATAATTTGAAACCATTAAAGATAGAAACAAAATTATACTAAGTTTAGACTGGACCTAACTTTTTAGATCTCTAATTTTCAAAATATTCCAAACAAACCGATACAATCCTACAAACATTTTGACTCTCAAGTATTATTAGCGTTTGCAGCTGCGGTTTGATCGTCAACTTTCTGTAGATTTTTTGGGGTTAGACTAGAGCATATTTTATAAAAGTTAATTCCTTCTTCAGATCAAATATTGATTCGAGTTTGGTTAGACAGATTTATAATTAACTAATTAATGTATTGATAAAAAAAAAATACCTGTTATTACGGGTCAAGAGATTGGCAATGAATTGCCAAAGACGGTGGTGTTTGCAAATGAGGAGACAAATGGTACGGCTAATATGTTCGTACCAACAAGCCATGGAGGCTCCTAAAGCTATTGGCGGCCAAACCTTCCTCGGCGCCACCTTCTTCATCACGTACTGCCTCGGCTCCGCCTCTCCCTCCGGTACCGGATAGTACGGCTGCCCACAGGTACACATACACACGTGTTGTATTAGTCCTACCTCTCACATGCATGTCATATTTACACGCTATATGTTGTGTCAAACCAAGAAAGTTGCATTCGTTTTTTTAAATATATCAAAGTTAACTTCCTTAAGAAAAATATAAAATTGTGAACGCATTTGTTCAAGAGACACTTTTACGCATTCTTTAGGAATGGAATACAAGAGCAACACGAAAATCCTTTTTCAAAAAAATAAAAACACAAGAGAAACACAAAAATATTATGTTATCATTTAAAAAAAAAAGAAATATTATGTAAAAATACTATGTCATCTTTCAAATAAAAACAGCATTTTTTAAAATGTAACAAAAAAAAAAACAACTCAACAAAAAAGTCGAGCCAAATATGTAGTCACGTGGTTCTAAAACATTTCGTACATATAAGAAATGTAGCTCAAATAGGTGATCCTCAGTTCATCACAGTATAAATTGCCCATTAGATTCAAATAAAAATTGACTTCCGAAATTAAAGTAATGAAGATTTGGGGAATATTTAACCATTTTAGGAATCTTTCGTGTCCAAATTTGCTATAACTACATAACTCACCGGAGCAAGGAGGGTAAGCGACTTGATTAAGTTCCCGTGTCTAGCGGCGAGTCCAAGCGCCAAAATGCACCCCAAAGAGTGAGCCACGATGTGGAAAGACTTCACATTGTGTTTGTGTAAGACCGATTTCTCGATCATCTCTATGTGTTCTCTCAACGTGTAGAGTGAATCAGCCGGTTTAGGACTCTTCCCGAATCCTAGAAGATCCACCGCAAATAGTCTATATGGAGAGGAGGAAGCCAACAAGCTTGGAAACACTGTCTCCGTCCAAAACGCTGACGAAGATATGAAACCATGTATGAACAACACATCCTCTTTTGCTGTAATCTCTGTTGTAATGAATCCAATTGTTTTAAAAGCAAAAAAAGTTAGTAAGCTTTCAGTAATTAAAATATTATTGTTTACACTTTTAATTAAAAAAGTTGGAAATCATTAATGCAAACAACTTTTTGTGTATTTGCGTTTCACATTTTTATCTATAGTTTCCAACGAATTATTAATGTTTGGTAAATAAAGTTTTTACTTTATAAACAAACACAACAACTACTCATGCTAAAAAACATTAACATGTAAATGTAAAAGTAAACACAATAAACAATAAGTTCGACTGTATTCATATATACAAATAGTATTACCATTTGGGATTTGAGTTTTGACAAAGAGGGAGTGATCTTTGTCGGAAGTAGAGGCCCATGATGTACAAAACCCACAATCACAATCAGACCATCGAGACACTTCGTGGCTCAAATTCTGCGGTTTGATCTTTCCCCGAAGCATCTCGACGACCGTGAAGTTAACCGTCAAGCTTGACTTTGTTATTGATCTCTTCCTTTTGTTCTTAGTCTTGTCATGATGGTCGCTACACTTTGAGTCAGACCGAGTAACCTTGACGGAGAGGTTAGAGAGGTCGGATAAAAGAGAAGGACGTGTGTAAAGGGTCTCAGAGATATCCTCCAGCTCAATCTTGGAACGTCCGCTACAAGATTATCAAAGGATTTTCATGCCCGCCGAATTATATAAATTTCAAATTTTCCAACTGATAGGGAAAATATTGGCTCAAGGTACAAACTTGAAATTAGTAGAAGCAAAAGACATATATCACGAGTCGGTTATAAAAATGGTGGGCATTTATAGTTTAAAATTCACGTAAATTTTTATAGTAAAGATGAAAAATATAAAGGGTTATCCTTGACTGTGACCAAAAAAAAAAAGGGTTATCCTTGACAAAAATCGGAAGGCCACATGTAATTATGTAAACAAAAGTATTATAGCATATCACTACAAATATGTATATATATAAATTGAACAAAAAAAGATTCATTCTTGTCTCTTGAAACTTTAATCAACCGAATATTTCAATGAAGCCATTTTTGGACAATTCTGATATTGACACAAATATGCATGAATTAATAAAAATATTAAGAAAAAAAAATACCTGAGTTCTTGAAGCGGAGAAAGAGTGAGGATCTTGGATTCGCCATTGTTTTGAGACAAGAGGATCTTCCCTCGAGTCGTCGTGATGGGTTCCTTGGCCGACAAACAATAGCAAGGCTTCCACTCCGCTTCAAAAAGATAGTCTGCTACTTTGTAGACAAGACAAAGCAATGGATCAATGATGTCGAAGAGACAGAATACGAAGAAGCTAACTGTTTCGTTTAGCCATGTCCCTGCTACGGTCGCTGCTCTTCTTGCCTTCATCAAAGCCATGGCTCAACAAAGCTTAGAGGTGTTTAAAAACTTCAAAGATGTATTCAACAACTCTCTTTTTTTGGTTTTTTGTATATTGAGAGTTTAAGAAGAGAGATCCATTTGTGAAGTCGACTTGTGTTGTTACTGTGTAATGTGTTTATATAATAGATATAATTAACCTCTCTCTTTCTCTCTCTATTCGAGAGTTGTATATGGAGAAAACAAGAATCTATGGGTTGTATGAACGTATATAGTCTATAGAGGAGGAGGATACGTGATTAAATATAATAATGATGTCTTTTTTTCATAATAATGATGTCATAAGGTGAATATTACTATTAATGGTCACGGATCCACCGGTTTGACCGGCCCGGTATTAAAAACACTGGCTAAATAACATGTGGCTGTGAGTTTATTTTAGACACTCCTTATTATATGTGTTTGTCGAAAATTCTATGTATATTGATAGGATATAATTACAGATAAATGGATCAT